TTTTTCCCTCGTGTTACGTTAATACACACATACTTAATAAAGGGCTGTTATTTTTCCTTTTTCCCTTTTCCATAATTTGCTTTCCTTCAATCGGAGCCTCTTAATTTCGAATCTATAATTGCTAGAAAAGAAGGTTTGGGTCTTTTTCTCCTAATCCATCCTCAGCAAAAGACCCTTGTCTCAATTAAACTGAGACATATGGAGAAATTTAGCTAAATCATAACACTGCTGTTCCACAGCAGTTTTTTACTCTTTCTAAATATGTTATCACAGAAATGCTACCACCATTCCCAATTGACTCAGCTTTGGCCAGCAATGGAGCCAGTTGGCATTCGCTCTATGGCTCTACAGGGGAAGCTTCTGGCATCTTCTCACAGAAGCCACACCCATAGCCCCTCTTCTACCAAAACCTGGCCATGCAAACCCAATACAGATGTAAATCCAGAAACCTCACCGGCGAAGCAAGAGCAGCATCACCAGGGAAGACCCAGAGGGTTACGTCTCTTTGGAAGATCACCAGCTTTTACAGGTATCACTTTTCATCTTCACCTCTCTGCTCTCACTTCTACGACAGTCTCCATAAGCACAGTAGTTACTGTAGTGGAGAGACTGAAAAAACTTAAAACACATTAACACAACTGAAGAGATGATTTTATTCAGAAGTTTGGTCTAAATAGTCATTTCTTCGCTGACAAGACTTCTTGCCCCTTTAGGATTGTCTAGTACCAGACAGATTCGTTTGGCTAATTGTGAGAAAAGTGAAACAAGCAACAAAACTGAATGCTCTCAGCAGTGACAGTAAAGCAGTTTGAGTTTTGCTTTCCACCTTTTCTGATTAATCAGGAACCCCATTTCCTCATTTCAAACTGTCACATTTCTCACCTAGGAAGGAAAGTTAGGCAACTGCTTTACCTGCACCTACAGGCCTCTGTGTGCTGAATGTCCTGCTTAGAACAAGTTTTAATTTCAGCCCCACTAATAGAAGCTGGTTAAGCTCAATACTATGGGATACGTGCAAAGCAGTGTCCTGGTCCTACTCATCATTCATCTCCACATCTCCTACATACTTACCAGGTACATATTTTCTCAGCATTATTTTAAGTAAAGGTAATTAACGTAGTTGAGAACCTCACAGACAATTCCAGGAGTTAACACTGGACCCAAATTACATGTTTTTTGTTATATAAAGTTAAGTACATAATAGAGACAAATGTCATCTCCTTCGGGGCCCTGATGAGCTAAAAACCTCCTACTGGAAAACCTAAACTGAGGCAATGAGCAAAGTCATTTTCCCCTCCCTAAGTTCTCAATACTCCCAGCTCCATGCTGTAACACAAATTCCCTAGGCCTGGTTTTTGCATCACTACAGCCATCTGCCTGGAGACCTCTGGTTGTTCTGCCCAACACAGTGTTCATATGTGCCTACAGGAGCAGGCAGCACTTGGGCAGGCAGGATCCAGCAAGTTGATAATTTGCTGAAGCCAAAGAGCATGAGAGATGGGAATCATGACACTGGGACTTAAACTGAGGGGTTTGTTAGTTGTTCTCTGCAGAATCAAAATATTTAGCAAATTACTTTAAAGATTCCTCAAGACTGTTGATATTTTAAGTATTTAGAACTTTAACTATCAAAACCAACCCAAAACCTGATTTCTAGTACTAGATGTTACTATATGAAATTCTATAGCAGTGTGAGAAATGGAACTAATGCAGTGAGTATATCTCTTTTAACAAAAGTGCTTGAAAGAAACCTGCATCACACCGAGTATTATTTAAAACAAAAAGATAACTTATTTTCTAGCAGAGCATTGCCTTAAATATCCTACAACCTGGGGGGTTAGAATACTGAGCTCCAGCTCTCTGCCTTCATGTTCAAAAATCAACATAAGTTGCAGGTCCAGATAGAGTTCACAGCTTACCTGTTTCAAGGGAATTTAAACACCACTCAACATTGAACACTCATGCCTGGAAGAAGTGTTAGATGCATGGGTAAAAAAAAAAAACCCAAGATGAACAGGTTCTCTATGCATAGTGACAGTTTATGAACCAGTGTTTTACTAAGTTGCAGACTAACTTTCCCCCCAAAAAATAAAACTCCATTGCACTAAAGGTCAAATTTAACCAGGTTATCTGGACTATGACACAGTCAATAATTCAGTACAAGCAGATATCATGAAAGCAGCTTTGAAGACCCAAAGCATCCTAGTTTCAGAACCAACTTAATGTTCTTCTGTTCAACTCCAGTGACACAATGAATGGGAGAAACCACCCCATCTCTACCTATGTACAATTCCAGTAGAGGCTGGGCAGTCTAAGCTCTCTGTGGCCAAGCTGGAAAAAAGAAACTTAGGAAAGGACACTTTAAAAATTCAATATCAGAAAGAAAGTTGTCTCTCAGGGGAAAAAGAAATCCTAGAGGGATGCACATGGGCAGACTCGTGCAGATGTTCTCCCTTATATGCAAAAAGCCGGACTCCTTCCTGCTGAGATTAAGTCACCCTGGATGTGAAGGTGGCAAGGCTGGTCCTGCTCCACTGTATGATGAGAATCCAGGAATGTGTTTTCAGCTGGCTCCTGCACGGGCCATTAGATCTTCCAAAGCATTCTGTTGGTCATTGTTATGTAATAATAAGACCTCCTTAATGTCTTTTAGTTCAAAGCCCATTTCTTTAAATTGACTCATTAGTTGGAGAAGCTCTGTGATCTGAAAGACACAGACAGTCCATTATTTGCAAGTGAAAAGAGGATCAGTGCTCAGTGGAGATTTAGCACAGAGCCAGTCTTCAGTGACTGGGCACCCCATAGGGTGGATTTCTACACCCCAAGTACAGTCTGTTCCAACTCTGGTTGGAGAAAGTCTGCTCGCACCAGTCAGAAGAGCTCTGGGTTCAGTAGCCCACGGAGCCTCACCTTCAGTCCCGTGTTTGCACTCCTGCATTTCCCAAATCCTCTTCAGCAAGGGCACCAAAGCTCCGTCTGTGGGGGTGTCTCTCCCAATAGGAAATTTATCAGCCTGCCCTAATGGACCCTGATTAATATCACCCTGCTCCCCCACATCTAGCAACTACTGTTGCATCTGAATTTCTTTAGTTACTTTGACTTTGGGAACAGCACAGTAGACCTTGCAATCAAATGGCTCTTCAGATCTAGGGCAAACTTGTGGGATTAACACAAATCCTATTGGATACACTGTGTAAAATACTACCAACATAAACCACAAATCCTCCCTGGATTTTGTAAAAAATAAAGTAACAAGAAGTGAATGACTGATCAGACTTTTATGGACCCTCTGCCATTTACAGGACCTCCACTCCACTTTGGGGGAATGATGACAAAATCAAACCAACCCAAAACAGGTTGCAATGGATGATCAGGAGGCTAGCCATTTCCACTTTTGGGGTTAAGCCAGTAGCAAATTCATTTACTGAACTAGGTCACTTCTCCCATCTTCATACTGTTGTTCCTCTGTTTGCAAACTCATCACCAAGTCCAAGAAAGGCATATATATGACATTAGTAATGACTAACATTATCTACCTGGACTTGTGCAAAGCGTTTGACAGTCCCACATAACGTCCTTGTCTCTAAACTGGAGAGACAAGGATTTGATGGGTGCGCCACTCAGTGGATAAGGAATTGGTTGGATGGTCACACTCAAAGAGTTGCAGTCAAGGGCTCAATGTCCAAGTGGAGACCAGTGATGGGTGGTGTTCCTCAGGGGTCAGTATTGGGACTGGTGCTGTTTAACATCTTTTTCAGTGACATGGACAGTGGGATTGAGTGCACACTCAGCAGGTTTCCTGATGAGACCATGTGCTGCAACTGACACACTGGGGGGAAGGTATGCCATCCAGAGGGACCTTGACAGGTGGGCCTGTGCAAACCTCATGAAGTTCAACAGGGCCAAGTGCAAAGTCCTGCACCTGGGTCAGGGCAAACAACGGTATTGATACAGGCTGGGGGATGAACCTATCTAGAGCAGCCCTGCCAAGAAGGACTTAGGGGTGCTGGTGGATGAGAGGCTGGCCATGAACCAGCAATGTGCGCTTTCAGCCCAGAAACCCAATTATATCCCGGGCTGCATGAAAAGCAGTGTGGCCAACAGGTTGAGGGAGGTGATTCTGCCCCTCTACTCTGCTCTCCTGAGACCCTACCTGGAGTACTGTGTCCAGCTCTGGGGTCCTCAGCACAGGAAGGACATGGACTCACTGGAGAGAGTCCAGAGGAGGGCCATGAAGATAATCAGAGGGCTGGAGCCCCTCTCCCATGAAGATAGGCTGAGAAAGATGGGATTGTTCAACCTGGAGAAGACAAGGCTCTGGGGAGACCTTGTAGCAGCCTTCCAGTACCTAAAGGGGGCCTATAAGAGAGCTGAAGAAGCACTTATTATGAGGATATGTAGTGACAGGACAAGGGGGAATGACTTTAAACTGAAAGAGGGTAGATTTAGGTTAGATATTGGGAAGAAATTCTTCACTGTGAGGGTGGTGAGGTACTGGAACAGCTTGCCCAGAGAAGTTGTGATTGCCCCATCCCTGGAAGTGTTCAAGGCCAGCTTCCAGGTGTCCCTGCCCATGGCAGGGAGAGAGGGTTGGAACTAGATGATCTTTATGGTCCCTTCCAACCCAAACCATTCTATGATTTTATGTCTGGGGGGGGTTGAGTTGTACCTCTAAAACTTTCATATAATAACTTGGCACACAACAGACAGTCAAACTTTAAAAGATCCTGCTGTCTTCTGAGCTGGCTACCTGTTCCTGCCTCTGTATTTTTGGTGGTTTTAAAACAGTCAGACAATGAATCAGACCTCAAAAAAACATTTTCCATCTTCTTCAAGAGAGAGCACTAACCCAATTTGCTGAGCAGCCAGGTAGATGCATTTGTACAAGGGAGAAAATTCACAACCAGGGCAGGTTGGCACGTTTTGAAAGATAATTTGCTGGTTCTATACCAAGCACCCCGCCCACAAGAGAACTCTGGGTTCAAAACATTACAACCAGAATAATCAGGGTCTTGAAGAAATCCTGTCCCCATAAAAATGCATTCAAGTGAGAATGATAAAGCAACACGGATTAATTCTAATTCTAATTCTTTAACACATATTCACTTTATCACCACAGCGATGTCCTTCAGCAGTCAATTTTGGAAATAAGGCAGCATTACACAAAATCCAGAGGAACTGCACACTCTCTCTATTCTAGCACACATTGCTCCCTCACCTTCTCCTCTGAACGCTGGTGCATTTCCAAAGCTGCTTCAACAAGAAGTGGATCAAAGCCCTTCTCACAAAGCTGTCCATGTACAAACAGGTAATCCAAAACCTGTGGGGAATGAAGAAAAGAAACTAAGCTTGCAGAGTAGCATTTGCAGCACATGGCTGAATACCATCTTTATACACTCAGAGGAGCTCAGCACAACTTTACCCTGGGCTTCACCAGGGACAAAGTCCTTCCTAGTAGATCTGAGACAGTCTTTATGCAAGAACTTGTTCAGAGAAAGCAGACGAGCCCTTCTGTCCTCCTATGTTCTCCCAACAGCTCTGAACATCTTCTGCTCTAGTCAAAACAGTCTCACAAGCCAATCTTTATAAGTTTAACTGTGTTTTTTATACTACAAGTTTTTAAGATGAAACTGTAGGTTCAGCAGTTAATATGTGTCAGCTTGTAGCTTCCTCTCAGACATCCACAAACACAAGAGTTGATGCAATCCAAAAGCAGTCAGCCTTTTAAGATCAACTCAGCATACTGGTGAGTGAGCTGCAAATCCCAGCTCACACACACAGAAACCACTGCCAAATTTCTTATCTGTCCTCAGTTTTGAGAGTTAGGGGGAAAGGTCAGATAGGTAATGCTAGGTACACAAAAGAATGCAGCTTGCAAATACAGCAGGATTTAAAACTGCCATCCTAAGGGACATTTTTTCCATTTGATACTACAGTTCACTCCAGCACACAGCTTAAATCATTCTTGATGTGTAGGTAGCCAGCAAGCAGATCAGCTCCATAAGGAGTCAATGGGATGCTCCTCCTCCTCAGGCAACAGGCATAGTCCTAGTCATGCCAGGCAATGCTCCACACAGCCCACCTAGGGTTTCCCACACAGAAAGTTGGCCACACTCTCCCTGCTTTAAAATGTTTGTTTGAAGCAGATTCAAGACCCAGAGCCATGCTTCACCCTGCAGTGCTTTATGCTCAGTGACCTTGTTTTAGCAAGTATTTGAGGCAACGCATGAGGCAGGAAGCAACACAGCACACAAAAGAAAGTTGGTCAGCACTGCTTTGCAAGAGCCTTTCAGGGATGTTGTAAGCCTGCAAGGGCAAATCCCTCTCTACAAGGAGAGACATCAGCATTGCAACCCATTCTCAGAACAAGGGAAGTTGGCTGTTTTATTGTCACATGGCACTAAGCATGGCATAGAGCCATGCTAAGCTTCCTTCAGATGGTTTTGCGGCTCCTGGGAAGGCCCAGTACCTCTCCCAGTTTAATGTGGAGCTAAGGGCCCATCCCAAGCTCAGTGCAGCTCTGACTCAGCATCCACAGGTGTGGCAAACTCAGTCTCTCATCATAAAGAAGTGCGGACACTTGTTTTGGGAGCCTTTACTGACAGGTGACAACTTCTCTAGTGGTTAATATACCAGCAGATACAGACTGCAACCCTTTGTTAGAATAAATATATTCCCCCCTACCCATTTTGCAAACCCAAGTTTATTTCTCAGCAGAATCAGCATCCAATCAAGGGTTTTTTCCCTGTTGCACAAGCTCTTACTTGGTCTATGTTCTGCCCCTTCTTCTTCATGGCTTTCAGGACGTCCTCAGGTGCATACCCCATGTTGACAACCGTCTCTACGCACTGCCTCTCGCTAGCAGAGAGGGCCTGCTGTAGTTCAGGAGCGGGGCCACCTGACCGCTTTGTGCAGTTGGTGTTATTGGGCACTTTAGACACGGGAAAATTTTGATGCGTTACCTAAAGGGGAAAATCCAGAGGCTGAGGTGATAGTGCAGAACCAGGATACCCCATGTAATTAATCCAAGAGGCTTTCTAGACTGCCCTTGGGAAGTTACTGTTAGGATGAAACCTAACAGTGCACATAGTCTGATTCCCAACATACTTTTTTAACCCTCCAAACAACCAACAACCCAGATCCTTTCCAATATACCCTCTCCTACCAGTGTATGAAAACCTTTAGATACCCAACCTTATGATATAGTCAAACCCTATACATCAGTGGAAGCATGCAGATTGCTTCCTTTACCCCAAGTTTACTCATCACCTATGATTTTCTGTACTCAAAGGAACACTATTTCTGGAGATTTTCAGAAATATGATCCAGTGCAAGCACTCAGGTATTTGGGAACTTACCGTAGGGATTTCTGTTTCCTTGTAGTCTGGGTGTATCTGTTGGACAACACACAAATAAGATGACTATAAATATTATGCATTAGTGAACAGAATTTGCTACAGCTGGGGAAGAAGGGTTTTATGGGAGAGATTTGGGAATAAGTTCACTATACTAGGGAGACTTGTGGTCTGATCAGGCTTCCACATGTGAGATGCAGACATTACACAGTTGTGTGTAGTTATTGAATAGATAATTTCTTCTTTCAGCACTCTACAAAACCAGATTATACTTCAAGAAGGGTGTGTCCCCTCTCATAATAATTGTAAGCTTGTTTATTCTGTCACTGTAACTTCTACATGTTCACAAAGCTCAGTGTAACATGCTGGCTCCTGTTCAACTTGACCCAGGGCTACACTGCCTGACAGTAATAATTTTAAAATCATTGCCTAGAGACTTCCCCTAATTTTTTTTGACCATGAGAAGGAGTAAGAGAAACATATACATCTTTTCTACTCAAAGCTCTGCATTTGATACACCTGTGATGGATGCACTCAACCCCCTTAACTAAACCTGCAGTAGTTTGGTACAGGTTCCAAAGGACGTAAAGGTCTGAGCTGTAGCTCTATGAAACACACAAAGGAGCAGAGAACATAGATGCATATGAGCTTGGAACATGATTGTGCAATCAACACATGAATAGCATGTGGCTTTTCCAAGACTTATTAAACAAGGGACAAAGAAAGTTATGGGTACAAGGAGTCTCATGCATAATTTTCCCATCATATGCAATTTGACTATGAGTCAACCACTTTATCCCTGCTAAGCAGTGTGGCTGCAGGGTGGTCATCTCCCCTTGAGCTAGGATGCTTCTCAAGGTTACTCCTTGAGGCAAAGAGACCTTCTACTAAGGACAGATCTTCAGGTGAGTTCAATTTGAGTTCTCTTTAAGTTGCAACTGGACTGCACACCAGTGACCATGAAATGATGGAAATAATAAAATTTTCAATACTCAGAGATTCAAGGCAAGCCAACAATAAAACCTCTACACTGGACTTCCGGAGGGCAGATTTTGACCTATTCAGAAGTCTAGTCCAGAGCATACCCTGGGAAACAACCCTTGAAAACAAGGGGGTTCAGGAGGGATGGATGTGCTTCAAGCAGGAAGTTTTGAGAGCACAGGAAAAGCCGTACCAATGTGCCGAAAGGCAAGCCGGCGGGGAAGACAACCAGCTTGGTTAAACAGGGAGATTCTGAAGGAAATCAGGGATAAAAAGAGAGTTTACCAACTGTGGAAGAAAGGGCTGGCTACTCAGGATGAGTTTAGGAATATAACTAGGTCATGCAGAAAGAAAATCAGGGATGCAAAAGCGCAATTTGAAGTTAAATTGGCTACTTCTGTTAGGGATAACAAAAAGTCCTTCTATAAATACATTAATAACAGAAGGAAGGGCAAAGAAAACCTCCATTCTTTGATGGACTTGGAGGGAAGCATAGTTAATAGAGATGAGGAGAAGGCTGAGGTACTTAACACCTACTTTGCCTCAGTATTCACCAGTAGGACACGTGGCCCTCAAGGCAACTGGACTCTGGAGCTGGTAGACAGAGATAGGAAACCAAATAGCCCCCTTGTATTCCGAGAGGAAATAGTTGGTGACTTACTGAGCTACATGGATCCTCACAAGTCCATGGGACCAGACGGGATCCATCCTAGGGTAATGAGGGAGCTGGTAGAAGAGCTTGCCAAGCCGCTCTCCATCATCTTCCAACAGTCCTGGCTCACTGGGGAGGTCCCAGATGATTGGAAATTGGCAAATATCAACCAAATCCATAAAAAAGGATGCAAGGCTGACCCTAGGAACTACAGGCCTGTCAGCCTGACCTCGGTGCCTGGCAGAGTTATGGAGCAGATCATCCTGAGTGCAATCACACAGCAGCTACAGGATGGACAAGGGATCAGACCCAGCCAACATGGGTTTAGGAGGGGCAGATCCTGTGTGACCAACCTGATCTCCTTTTACAATCAGGTGACCCACCTGGTGGATGAGGGAAAGGCTGTGGATGTGGTCTATCTGGACTTCAGCAAAGC